TCCCTGGTTTCAGTCCAATTAAAGTCAGTAACAGACCACGATCAAATCAAGGATCAGGTATAGTATATAGTGCATTCTCTGGAAATTATATTATACTTTAGTCTTCTCACTCAATCATATGTTTATGGATGATACGTCAATTACTTATTACAGTGGTCCCTTCTTTTTCTATCACCATTACATGTAATTATTTCAATATCACTGCTGCTTCAGGCAGAAATAATGGCACCAGGGAGTCCCATTTTATATGCTGTTTAGCCAGTAAGGAGATCCAGTACAGAAGTCCACTATATAATTTTAATTCCTCCTGGATAAATACCTTGGCAAAGTGGAGAGATTCAGTAAGCTAAAGGCATCGATTCATACATTAAGCTGTTACTGCACAAAAAACCCTCTAAGCTCCATCACAGGTTTATGATTGTATGTCAAGTATACAGGAATATGAAAAAAAATTTTTTTTAAGAAAACACCTGTGCCCACAATCACTCATTAACTGATGCAAGTCTTAAAAGAAAAATATGGAAACAGTTTACTTTTCAAGAATGCATGACTTTTTTGGCCACATTATTCTGAACGATACTACAATATCTTGAATCTGAAAACTGTCCATACACACAAGTAATTCCATTCAATTTCACTTTCCTGATTTATGTCTAAACAATCTTTAACAACCATGTGGTGAACTTTACAGAGTTCTTGGTGAAATGATTATTAAAAAAAAAAAATAATCCCTTTGAGATAGAAATAATCTACATTATTTTGAACAAGTCAAAAAAATAAGGGACATCTTGATAGTCTCCATATTTTACTTTGGGCCAAATGAGTTGAATAGCAATTTAGCCCCAGCAGTCATTAACCTGTGATGTCATCATTTTGTTAGCATCAGAATTAATTCTGACTTTACAGTTCCATAAAGTTGTACAGTTCATAGAACTGCATGTGTGTAAAATTAGTCATACACTAGAGTTTCCAGTGACTGGCTAAATAACAGTTGGTACATAGCTTTAATTTACTATGTTAAAAGATTATTCTGTCTTTCATAGGAAAAAGAGCAGCCTGACTTAAGCAGCTGCTCAGAAAGGTGCAGCTGAAATTTCTCTGTGTGATCAGTGGAAGTTCCCCACACCTACACTGGTGTTTTCACAAAGAAAGAAAGAAAAATAAAAGTAGAAGAAATAAAGGACAGAACCACAGAATTTTTAAAAGAACTCTTACGATCAGCTTGAACTTGAATAACATAACCTAGTGTCAAGGCCATCCGCTGGGAGTCAACAGTACTCAAAATTTTGGCAGCTGCAGTGCCCAGCAAAGGTTTCCCGTTGTATAAAGTATAGTATGTCAGTTCAGCCGGTTCCTTGGGTCCTGGAATACGTTGGATTTTCACCATCTTCAAGGAAAAAAAAAAAAAAAGAAAGGAAAAAAAAAAAAGAGAGAGAGAGAGAGAAAGAGAAATAAACTGTGTTTGTGTTATACCACTGCAAAACCTGCCAGGAGCTACTTGAAGGCAGTGCACACAGGGAACTCCTTCAAGACTCCATATAAGCATAAGCTCCATGCAAACATTCTCATAGGATCAGAGCTTCTCCCCTTCATAGCCTAAGCTATTAAGATTAGTGAGGACTGACTGCCACCTTAAAGAATTTTAAACATAATCCTAAGGTAAAAGCCTATACTAAGAAAAGCATGCAGTAAAAAGGAAGAAGGATCAAATGTTTCGACATTAGTGTGCTCTGTAAAGACAGAATTCTTAAAACCTGCCCTAATATTGAAAATCATACTTTACTGGCATAGTGCAGTTGAAAAACTCCCCTCACAGTTTACTTCCTTATTCATTATTTTTGATCCCAGGCTGACAATAAAGAGAAACATGCTTTTTCCATTTTATTCTGTAGAGCACCAGCAAAATTTTTACATTATACCTCTGTCTTTCCTGGGAGTAGGGTAGTGTCAAACATCTCTAGTGATGAGAGGAAACAGAAGTTTTGTGATTCTTCTTCATTATGTTATGTACTAAAATATGTCATGTTTGCACGGAAAATTTTACAAAGGTTCACAGTTTTGGCAAGTAGAAACATGTTCCTTCTTTTAAATTCTTACAGTGGCAAAGCACACAGAATTGTGGGCAAACGAGAAAAGTAGTCATTTCTTTTATCTCTCGCAACAAGCAATTCTTAAAAAAATCATGTAATTAAAAAAAGGCAATAACTTGTCATGCAATTTTTGAAGAAAGATTCTCTTTGAACCCCCCACAACTAGCATCAGTTGGCTAAATTAGTGAGAAAATAAAATACCAAAATTTCAAAATAGTAAATGGGAAATGTTGCTAAATAAGATGATTAATAAATTACTCAGGACTGAAATCTCTACTTCATAATGTGATCTGTGGCCACATGATTTGATGACTAACCCTGTATTAAAGATGGTTTGGTTTTTTTTCTTCAAGAAAAAGAAGAAAGAAGTTCTAGCTTTATTGAGTTACCCAGGAAAGGAAGACCCAGGAAATTCTTTTTATGAACAAAAGCCTGGAACTTGTCATTATGCTGAATACAAGACTTTATGCTAAAATACGTACTTTGTATCAATCCTCATGCAACCAAAGAGAAAATATTTATTAACATTGATTAACTAATGACAATTTCTAGAACATGAGAGGCATGCAAATGTGGCTCACTGCAGAAAAAAAAAAAATCCATTAGTAACGCCATGCATTTTGCACTCACTACTTTGATGAAAAAAGACAGGAAATCTCAACCCAGTTAAACTTTTTTTTTCTTACACAAATTGAGGCAGGACACATGCAAACAGAGCCCTTTTTCCAACACATATCTAGGCACAACCGATGTCGCATTGACCACCTGTACAGTGTAGCTGCCCACAGTAGTGGCACGTTTGAATCGTCTTCCTTGCTGTTGGGACATCATAAACAGCGGGGCCAAACGCTGCTCCATTAATCTTGCAAAGCTCTGATTGTTCAGTCCCAGTAATGCAATATCAACCCCTTGAATAACTGTGGGAATGGAGATCACATATCAGCACATCTTACATGGGCAGATAAAGTAACACGTGGTCTGTAGGACAGTTTAGAGCAGGTATGTACTAAATAGCTTAGAAGAAAAATAGCTGGACACCATTACACCCACTCAGTAATTCCCGATGGGGACACAACATGCTTCTGTTTCAGCCCCTGCACTGTTCTCAGATAATGTCAACAATGTTTCAGAGAATAAAATCCTCCAAAAACTTTCTTAGGCCTGCCGTTTACCAAAATGGCTCCGGGAAGCACCTGATCTATGAACTTCAATGTAAAAAGTAAGTTAAAACTTATTCGAGATCTGCCTGGTTTTATGTGTATCACCAGATGCTCCTGTTAACTAAACCACAGTTTTTCATCCAGCAGTTTTGAAATCTGAAGTTGGGATTTTGTACAACTCCATTTGAAACAAAATATTACATGTTTGAGAGCACTGAAAACTGACTAAACATTTCCTAAGTATAAATGAATGTAAAATTTAAAAAGACATTGAATTTACATAAAGTTCAAAAAAAGTTACATGGCACACTAATTTAATTCATACATATGTATGATTTTTCAATATTATTTCAAAAATCTTTTGAGACTACCACGATTTTTTTGAAAACAGTGTTTCCATTATATCAATCAGACTTGATTGCAGTAAGTGTACAAAGGCAAGAAATGGAATATTGGGTTCACGGGGTCCAAATGGGGAGCAGCTGTAGCACTCCCTTCAGAGGATCCTAATCTCTGCATAAGCTTATTTTTTATCTCAAAATTATGAATAGATATAACAGGTACCAAATCACATCAGCTTTTGGAAGCAGAGTGTAGAATTTAATCCCTTTCATGTCAGCCTCCTTTTCTTTTGCTCTCCTGAGCGTTAAATAATACCACGTACAGACACACCAATTAGAAAGGCTTTGGTACCTACTCAAAGATGCCTGGGGGAAAGGGTCTCTTTCTTGCCCAGTTATCACTTCTAAAGTCAAAACAATTGTGAATGAGAATGTGATACCAGCTAAATGACTGTGATAAAACAAGTATTTTGGAGCCTAATAGCATTCTCTGCACCTTCTTTTCCACCAACAGAAAGTTATGTGCTTAATGCTTCAGGGGAAAGATGCAAAAACTCCTGGACCCAGACAGTCAGCCAATCATAACAAACTTTCTTAGTTTAGCAGATCACCTTTCTTCCTGGGTTATGTCTACAAGCCTCTTCTGATTTCAGATTTAAATTCAAGTCCTGGGGGCTGGGGGGGGAAGCACCTATTTGTGTTTTAAAACTCTGAGAAGATAACGCTGCTCTCAGAAGTGCTTAAACCAAAGCGGCATAAATTCTGAGGCGTGTGCTGGATGCAGGAGACATCTCTATTCACAATGACGAATCACAGTTATGCCCCAGAGTAACTGTAAATACATTTGCCCAGTTGAACGCAACAGGAAGGTTCAGTGGGAAGCCACTTATTTTTGTGTAAAATTACTGCACCAATCTGTTTATATAAACAAGCACTAAAAATTATTATCTGAAGTGCATGGAGGAGGAAAGGAGATTTAAAAGTACCTGTTATCACCCAGTAGTCTCTAGTTGACTCTGAGACATCAAGGTTTGGATACTCCAAAGCTTTAAAAATAAAAGTTGAAATTATGTCATAATATTCCAACATCCTACACATTATATGTCCCAAAACTGGTTAGCCAGACAGTAATAAATAAAATTGAACTGTGGCCCAGGAGGAGATCTAGAGGCATAATTTTGAGGGTTACAATTTCTCTTCTGCCTGAAAAAGGATATCAAGTGTAAACAGTACAAGCTGTACAAGCACTGCTGTACAAAGCAGAACATACATCTTCTGTTGCCAAAATACTGGCTGGGGCAAAGCCCAGGATTGCCCATTACTAAAAATCATAGGTAATATGCATGTGTCTATGTTATATACATTTCTGCTGCTTTCTCTCTGTGAGTAATCCCCTGGGGAAAACAAGGTGAGATTCTATGATGATTCTGTGATTTAATCCTTACTTAAACCAGTCCACAACTTTAACCTAAAATAATATTAAAATAAACCAGGATCAGATTCCACCAATCACAGAGTGCAGTTCCACATGAATTACAAACGAGACTAATGAAACTTGTGAACACACCTTACAGTGTGGTACTCTCACTCTCTCACATTGCAACATTTAAGGTATTACTACCATATGTGTTTACATCTGTGAGAAACTGATGTTTGCCGTTTTGATGCCTTTTGTTAGCTTTTCCATCTCCAAAGCGCATTAGGCTGTAAAGTTCAATATGCTGCTAATTCATGATACAGCTCAGCATATTTTCAATAGAATTATGCAACATGGAAAGCATTAATACTTGGAACTTAATTCAGAAAATATCCATGCTACTGAGTTACCTTGATTTTTAAAATCCAAAGTGGCTTGAAATAGTAAACATTGTAAAGGATCTGACTACGCACAGTAGCTGCTTCTGAGGAGGTATTTCATGGCGTGTCCCAAGCTGTGCATTTCCATGACAGACTGCGAAGGATCTGAAGGAGCTGCCAGAGTCTACTGGGAAATAACACGCTCCAAGAACAGCCCCAATGTTTGTTTGATAAACTGAAACAACTGCACTGCCACATGAATAAGCATCAAACACTTTTCAAAGTAAACATTTTCCCAAGATGCACTATCAGTCTGAAACCATAAACACTACACATGCATTAAGTTCATGAGTTTGCAGTATACCTGCTGCACTGGGAACAAAACCAAGAACTCCAAAATGAAATATAAGCCATTAGTTGTTAAAGGAGCAGTAGTTAAAGACTTTATCGGCTCAGTTTATCATGTGGGGGGGATCAGCAGAGAACCACAATGCCACACGAGACTCACTATGTGACAAATAGATTCACAGCCCCTGACTGCCAAGCATACACCTGTATTGCCTTTGTGAGAAGCATCATAACCCTTTTCTTATGCAACAGATCTATTTTGGAGGCCTTGAACTTGTGCAGCCATCGTCAAGACTTCCTCAATCTTTCTCCTTGTGCTTGTGGATGCCCTGCGAAGACAAGTCCTGCACACAGGGCACTATTCAGACAGGATCACCTGTCAGCCAGGAAAAGGAAGGAACCTGTCTGATGATGAATGGCCTATATCCCTTTCTAGGTCCTCAAGCACACCTTTTGTTAACAGCCTCCCTCCACCTCCCCTTGCCCTTGGAAAGACTTGATGAAAATGCAAGCCTACCCTGAGACAAGTCTCTTACCCTGTGATGGAAAGTCCGATTCAAAAGTGTACCAACACAGTGCAAGAACTCATCATCAGGCAGTGTCATCTATTTACTTGCAAATATCTGATTTAGATAGGTAATGCCTCAAGACTAATATACAGTCCTCCTTTTTCCAGGATTTGCACAATCACCAGAGTTAGCTGTGATTCCCGACTACCTCGTACTGGAGAGTGACCTCTTACCCCACAGACAGCTGAGTGCTCATTGTGCAGGCAACTGATGAAGAATTGCACAAGATAATTACTCTGCTGTTGGGCTGTTTGCAAATAAAGTGGACTGCCGAAAGAGGTAACTTGTGTTTTCCCCACTGCTCACTTTTCAGCACCCTGGTTCTACTTTTTCTTAGAATCAGAAAATTAACAAGCACCTTAATAATTTTACCTGAAACTACAAATCCACTCAGTTCAGTGTACTAATCATAAAGACATATTTGGCTCTATCCTTATGTGCCCGAGTATTTCAACACTTGTGAAATGAAAACTTACAAACTACTCCATCACTGGTTTAGCCTTATCAGTGAGTTTGACAGCTACCAGAAGCTTAACCAGATCTTTACTGGTATTCGAGCACAGTACTTCAAATTTAACAAGCATCTCATGAAGATTCACGCACAGTGAGATCAGCTGAAACCTGCCCTTCCCTAACCAGAGTCCATTACCATGCACTGACATACCCAGCGCATCCCTGTCTCCTCTTGCTTCAAGTGAACACTGATCTCCTCCAGTGAATGAACAACCCGGCTTTACAGTGAGCTTAATTTCACAGACCAAGTCTAACAAGAAGATTAAACAGAAATCCCCATAATCACATGTCTTATCCCTTTCATTATTTTAGAGAAATCAGCATGCAGATTCAGAAAGCATATATGCTGCACAGGCTGCCCAGGCACACAACTTTCTCTTGCTCTCTGTACTTCTGATTCTTTGAAACAATTGAAACGCAAGCAAATTATTGACACTAAAGTGCTTAGACCACATTTTAAACTAAGGATGAAGCTTGGCAAATACACCAACAACATTTCAGACACAGAAGTGTAGACAGAGCTCAGCCACTACCCAAACACACACACAAAGCACGCTATCCAGCCCTGCCGCTGGAGCAAGCACCGGCAGCCAAGTCTGCCACTGAACAAACGGGCTGTGCTGAAGTGTACTCCAAGTACATAAAGTGAACTTTATCTGCTGTGCTAAGTTTTCCTGAAATGAAAAACTGGGGAAATTCTGTGGGTTTTTTTCATATAAAACTACAATTTTATTTTGTTTTGGAACCTGTCACAGGCTTTTTTTTTTTTTATTAATGACAGCATATATGTGTTTTTCTTAATTATCTGCCAGTGTTTCTAGCAGCTGAAGTAAGCACTGAACCCAGAAAAACCCTCACCTAACCCCCCCATCCTCTATTTTTTTTTTTTTAGTTAAAAAAAAAGTTTAAAAAGCAGTCACCAAACACACCTACAATCTGTGAGCTTGACGACAAAGCTTATGGTGCTTGCAAAACAAAAGCCCAATGCTGGCTAATCTTAAGGAGCTGTGTGCTGGGAAGTGCATACTTACATTCTGCAATGGTGAGAGGCGGGTAGGTTAGATAGAAACCCACCAGCTCAGCTGACAGCTGATTAAGAAGGTTGCTGGAAATAGTGCCATTTAGAGTTGTGCTTTGATTGTTCACTACATAAAACAGAGTGACAGCTTGGGAGACATTGGAGGTGTTCAAAATCTGAAACAGAGGTAAAGAAATAATGTGTACCTGTGCTTCAGCCCAGTTGGAAAAAAAAGAAAAAAAAACTCAAACCAAAAAAAAAAAAAACCACACCCCCACACCACCAAAAAAACCCAAAACCAGTGCAAACAAACTGGGAAGAAGCTAACCTGAACAATGGATTAGATACAGCTCACTCAACATGGTTGTGTAAAACAGTTTGTGATACTTTAATTCCTACTTTAGCACATGCAGAGTTACTGGAGGACAGCAGCAGGCAGAAAAGGTGCTGTCAGTAACGAAAATCTTTCCCCCTGTTTTTTACCAGGAAATGTAAGATGAGAGAGAGGATGCTTATCAGAAAAAACGTTTAGTATTTGATGCAAAGGAATTTGGCCTGTATGTCTTGCTCTCTTTGCTGCCTCAAATACCATGTTCAGTTTTGAGCCCCTCACTACAAGAAGGACATTGAGGTGCTGGAGCATGTCCAGAGAAGGGCAACAAAGCTGGTGAAGGGCCTGGAGCACAAGTCTGATGGGGAGCGGCTGAGGGAGCTGGGGTTGTTCAGCCTGGAGAAGAGGAGGCTGAGGGGAGACCTGATCGCTCCCTACAATGACCTGGAAGGAGGGTGTAGAGAGGTGGGGGTCGGTCTCCTCTCCCAAGTAACAAGTGATAAGACAAGAGGAAATGGCGTCAAGTTGCACCAGGGGAGGTTTAGATTGGATATTATGAAAAATTTCCTCACTGAAAGGGTTGTCAAGCATTGGAACAGACTGCCCAGGGAAGTCATGGAGTCACCATCCCTGGAGGCATTTAAAAGGCATGTAGACATGGTGCTTAGGAACATGGTTTAGTGGTGGTCTTGGCCCTGCTAGGTTTGATCATCAATAGCTGAATTCCAGATGATCATCATCATTTGGACTCGATGATCTTAAAGGTCCTTTCCAACCTAAACGATTCTATGATAGCATTCAGTATTCATGAATGTTATTTAAATACCCCATTTTTATGATTTGGATCACTAAGTAAAAACATGAAACGTGGTGTAATAAAAACATCAGAAGAGGACTTCGAGGTCAGACCAAAGGTCTACCTAGCCAGCATCCACTTGTAGATGGCCAGGAGCAGATGGTTGGAGAATGAGCACAGGGCAAGAGGAAAGAACTCTTTTCTGCACTGCAAGGTTAGCCCACAGCTATGGTCTGAACCATAAATTATATGCTTGGGTTTAAAAAGGGTTGATGACTTTTTATTCTATATGTTTGGCCAATTACTTTTAGTAACTTCCATACTTTTTCTCCAGTTACATTCTGGCCATCTTCAAGATCTTATTACCCACCGCGTGAAAGGATTTTTCTTTTTATTTAAACCTCCGTAGTTCTGTTATGGGAAACTCTAAATAATCACTCCTGATTGACTACACCACTCGTGGTTGGAGAACCACGGCCAATTTAATTTCTCCTTGCGTGGAAGTTGTTTCATGCCTTTTACCCATGTTGCTGCCATTCTCTCTACTCTTGTAGTGCAGCAACGCCTTTCTGAATCAGCTCCGTCTGCTCCAGAACTGTTCCTCAGTTTGTAATTAATCTAAAACCCTCGTACTATTTTCAGTTGCACCCAGTCCTTTGCATGGTACTGGAATAATTTCAGAAGAATTTATCATGAAGATCACACCTTTGAGCCTCTTACTTTCTAGTTTATATCTTGCCTCCAAGACCTTCATCCTGTCACTTTCTAAGTTGGAATTACCCACAAAAACTACAACTATCATCTTCTTCTAGGGATCCTTACAAAATTGCCTCGGTACTTTGCAAGATCTATGACTTCTTCTGTGAGCAAATCAGCCATCATGAAGGTTCCCTCAGCATCACGGGTTCAGCTATTGAAAAGCTTGATAATCACTTTACCTACTGCAGTAGGTCATCTCTTGCCATGCACTTTTCTGCCTCTCTGAGCTCCTCCAGTTTGAAGACAAGCTCACAAGACACAGTACCAAAGTAACTAAGCAGAGCTCTGACAATCAATTTTCTCCTTCTGGTAAGCTACATGCAAACTATTCTGAGGAGCGTAAGTCCATAGACAGAGTTTTAGCAAATGTCAAACACATATCATAATATCACCGAAAGGATAATCTATTTATTCCTGAAGTATGGCACAGATCATAAGGGTGTTGGCCCACTAAACATGTAAAGTTCTGCAAAAATCAGGCCCTCAATAGTGAATTAGGATCTGCAAGTGTAGAACTGGAATGCACGCACACACACGAAAAAGAAATATATTCCATTAGCTTAGATCTTACAAACAGCTATGCATGACACTAACTTTATACCTGAATAGCCTAAAAGCAATTAATGTGTCTGAATAACATATTCAGTAAAGATGTAAATTTGGAAGAATATTTTTATATATTTCTTTTTATTTGAATTTCACTTAAATGTTTTAACTGCAAACAGTAAAATTCAAATTCATGAAAATAACAGCAACAGCCTTCTATAAATCACACATTTATAAGTTTTCCTGCAATAAATAAAACAATCTTATTTCAAGTGAAAGCATCATCTTACTTCCATAGTGGCTATCGACATTATGTTGAAATACAAGCATACACATAGGAAAGAACAACCCAGAGAGTTTGGCAACAGGTACTGGCAAAGCATGCATCATTGTACCTGAACTGTTAAGTTGTTGCTGGTGTTTAAGACCTTTCTCTCAGCATCCTGAAACGCTCTCTGTAACCGTTGCTCCATGGTCTGAACAAATTTGCATGACTGTATATTGTCTGTTTGACCCACAAACTGCAGCTCTGGAAAAGGAACAATGTATTTGTACGTGGGCAAAATAGTCTCGGTTGCATAATTCCTGTAATGTCTGACAGCAAGATGACCAATTTACAAAGTAAGCAGGTGAAAATAATGCTGCATAAGATCAGTTTATGTCACTCAAGCACTGCGCTAAACTGGCCTTAATTAAGACAAAATGCAAGAATTAAATTGCATTATTAGAGCTGATACTCTCCACAAACAAATAGACTCTGTTTCTAGAGTGATATATATAAGATGGTAAGACCAGTTCACTGTACAAATACTTACTCAGAGCCAGGCAGTAAGCGAAATCATTCTAAAACACAAGTTATACTCTTAAATCTTGCAGGCCATTTGCTCTTGCAAGATATAATCAATCATAATATTGATTCTCATTCTGTTTGTGCTAGGAAAAATATACTTAATGGGTAATTGCACTAAGTACATGCATATACAAGCATGTAAGCACACACATAAGAAATCTTTTTACAACTGAGTATGTTGTTTTACAGCATGCTCTGCCCTCTCGTAGCTTATACTGTTCTGCTGCACTGCAACTGCTTTGCACTGATGTGTGCTACAGTACAGGGGGGTTACACAGCAACCCTGGGACAGACAGCTGGGACCCAAGTCAAATCCAATGGCTCCAGCCAGAACTATATATACACATATCATATAGTCATGTTTCTCATCTGATCGCCCTCAAAAGACATGCACAGGTTACCGCACAACCCATCAATTAAAGTCCATTTTAATCAAACGCCAAATCTTAGTCAAGCATGCTGGTGTGACTCATCCCTATGGCAACGCCACTACATTTCACAGCAGTGCCAACAGAGGTGACAGCAGAGCCCCGCACAGGACAGGGATGCACACATCACCTGCCCTGCTTCCACCAGGAACACCAACACATGAAACCAGAGCAGCACTTGTCCTGCTGCTGTGCCAGGGACCAGGTGGTGAGGCAGGATGGCAAAGGGGAGGAGGAGGATCGTCCCCATGCACTGAACCCTTAATACACACACACCAAAAAACCCCCGGTGCGGACGGGTAGGACCTCACTCACCTGTTTTCAGCTGGAAGTGGTATGCAGGAAGGGGCTTCCACGGCAAGGCCAGGGCCGCCACGGACTGGAGATGTGGTACGTGCTGCTTTATGTCTGCTGTGGCATTGCTGATGCCGTACGCAAGGAGCCTTTCAATTACAGCAGCCGGTATAAAAACCAGTCTGCCCCGTGTAACGTAGTAACCAACTGTTACATTGTTTGATTGCTCCAGGATTTCAACCTAAAACACAGAAGGAAACTTTTTTTTTTTTATTTTGTTTGCAGTTCAACCCCTATTTGATGAGACTTCGCATCCCAAATATAGCTCCCTTGCAGGGTTTTTATCCTATAAACCCTATAGAGTTAGCGCCGTATCAGACATAGTATTGGCAGAATTGTTCAGGGAGCTTTAGACCCTGCCCATGCGAAATGTGCTCTGAATTGAACAGTGCAGTATTGCTACCACAGTTCACATACCTCTAATTTAGACTTGGGTTTCATTCATATATATATACTGGGACATTTTAATTATGAATGTAAAAATACAGAGAATCCAGAGAACATCCAGCTCCTACTTCATACCTGAAGTTCACTGACTTTGTGCATGTGTCTGTCATTGCAGGTTTGGAGATAGATTTTTTTGAAAGACAAAAGTTTCCAATATTTGATTCTTCAACCTCAACTGTCTCTTCTATACTATTTTTCCTATACTGTCCCAGATGGTTAAGCTATCACCTATACGAGTAGAAATGACAAGCCACAAGAACAAACACACTGCGAGCCAAAACACGAGTTGAGTTTTACCTCAAAATTCTGTATTTCCCCAAAAGTTTAAGCCCTGGAATTGGTCCTCCACACTAAGTTTCAGCTGGTTTCCTCCATTAGAAAAAAGGCAGCTTCTCTCAGGTTTACAAGAAGGTGGGGATGTAAGTTTGATAATTTTCATTGCTGCTGCTGAGACTCAGGAACATACAATTCCCATACCAACTAACATCATCCAAACTTGCAGCAATAGAGCATGGGGACAAATGTCAACCTGATGCCCTCTATTTTGAGCAAAACTATGTTTTTCCTTCCCAGTGGCTTGGTGAGTATAACTCATAACAGGCTTGGACTCAGCACAAACCCCTGCCTAAGTGCACAGGAACATGTATTGCAGAGAGGAGTGCCCCAGCAACCCACCTAAGCCTGCTCTTACATGCAGCAATGCAGAGGTTCATGCAATTTAGTTGCAAAGTGATGAACACATCTCCCTAATTTATTTTTAATAAAATGTGCTTTTTCCGCGCTTGGGATTTTCGTCCCTGTGGAATTGCACTTGTCTGGTACTGGGTTTTCAAACCAGGGAGCGGACTGACAGCAGTGACACCCCGTTTACCAGCCCTGCTCTTGCAATTGATCCAGGCTGAGCACAGGAGCGCTTGGCTGATCATGAATAGAAGTCAATCCTGAGCTGCAGGGGGAGGAGGAAACTGCTGTCAGTAGTCATTTCCCAGAACTCAGTAAAAAGAAATCTGCATTTCTCCCTTCTACTTCATCAAATAAGGTGGTAAAAAGCTTTGGAGCAGTCCTTATATTTTTAGAGCCAAGACCAGGTGCCACCTATGCCTGCTTTCCATAGGAAAAGCTCAGTGCTCCCCTCCAAAAGGCTTCTGGCATCCAGAGACACCACTGCAGCTGCAGTCAGCTGGGATTCTCTTTGTGGGAGAGCTGTTTTGGTGAGATCATGCAGGCAAGCCAAGCATGCTTACCTGAGCACTGACATTTTGGTTGAAAGCTTGTCTCAGCACTTGGTTGAGTCCTTTTCTCACGCTCTCCTTGAAGGGATTGCTGATCAGCATCCTCCTTGTGTTCAGAAACAGAACTGTGAAGCAACAAAAGCTACATGTTGGTTTGAGACATTACCATGCTACTGTTTGCTTTATTTGTTTTACGTTGGGCTAGCTGGGTGAAGATCACGCCTCCTTGTGTTCAGAAACAGAACTGTGAAACAACAAAAGCCACACGTTGGTTTGAGACATTACCATGCTACCGTTTGCTTTATTTGTTTTACATTGGGCTAGCTGGGTGAAGATCACCAAAGCAGCTAGGATTTTCAGCAGCTCCAAAGGCAGCAAGAACTGCAGAGGCTCAGCAGCATCCCTGAGTTCCCTATTCATCCCATGGCAATAGCCCATTGTTTCCAGAGTGAGGTTTAACAAATGCAATTTCTTTAGGAACAACAACAAGTCTTTGCCATGCTGCCGAGTGAGGTATGACAGCACTCATTGCCTGTGGACACACTGGTGCAGCATTCCCAGGAGACTTAGCTGGTGCTGCACAGGCAGGCTTAGGTAAAGGACGTGTGCTTCATACCTTCACAGTCAGAGTTAAACAAACAAAGAAATGTGTTACTCCACTGCTACAATTATTTTCCATTTAGGAAGTGTCTGCACACTTTCTTTATTAACATTATCACTAGCTTTTTCTCTTCTAATTTGCAGAAAATAAGTGTCTGCACACTTTCTTTATTAACATTATCACTAACTTTCTCTCTTCTAATTTGCAGAAAACAGCTACACTTCAGTAGTTTCAATCACACACGGTATACAAGGGTACTTCTATCTTTAGAAATAGTTGTTGTACTCATCATGCTACTGATATAGATATTTAGCAGCTATTAAACGCACAATAGGTCCAAAAGCTGCTTACTACTTCGTCCCTGGTCTTTAGAAATAGTTGTTGTACTCATCATGCCACTGATACAGATATTTAGCAGCTATTAAACCCACAATAGGTCCAAAAGCTGCTTACTTCATCGTCCCTGGCATCACTCAGGTCTATACAAGGTCATAAACCTTTTTATGTAGCTATTCTTCTTTGCTGAGATCTCCAAGATACAGCTATCTTCTGGTGCTGCGCTGTGCTACCATAAGAGGTCCATACGAAGCCTGGGCAAGGGACCTCTCCAGACCCCTTTAGTTTAGAGTTCTTACAGCTAAAGAAAAGCTGTCCATGAAAAAACAGCTAGAGCCAGAAGTGGTACTGTTCACATAGAAAGCTGAAAATCCTCCCATTTTGAAGCATACAACTCTAAATACTAAACATTCTTTTCAAATGAATCCTTAATGATAGAAATAGGTGTTCATATAAAACCAGAATTAGGTATTCACATGTAAATAGGGCCAAAGACTGAGGCATGATACTGCACTGTCTTCAGCGACACAGACTCCTTCCTGCAAAGCAGAGACCAAACCATCATGTCATACAGGGTCATCCCTCCACACAGGTGGTACTGCTAGATCCCTGCAGTGACCCGCTGAACGTCAGAGTGCCTCATCTCACTAGTTCATTTGACACATTCATTGCAAAATCCAAGCCACAAATAAAGCCAATGCCATTCCTATCTAGCAACCCTGCTTTTATCTGTCTGGTCTGTCAGTGCAGCAGCCTCGTCCCCAGATTAATCGCTAATGCCCTCGTGTTCTTTGACACTTAAATGTATTTCCCACTCATTACCAGTTGCCCCTCACAGACAAGTGAGGTCCCTTCAGCAAATTCAGTGGCCCCACGTACCTGTTTTAACCATAAGGTTCTTGGAGAGCCGGCAATCCAGAGGAGGAGCTGCTGTCATGTTAGCGAAAGCGGCTGCTGCTGTGGTTTCGGGAGGAGCAGAGGTGTTTTCCACTGGAGTAGGGGGAAGCCTAGTTGTTTTTGCTGATGCTGTAATAGATGTCAAAGCTGCTGTCATTGTCAGTGGATACGGGGTTGACTTTTTGGTGATTTCTGAGCTTGGGAGCTTCTGAGTGTCAGTTACTGTTGTTTCTATCTGCCTTGGTATGTGTGCTGTGGGTACAAGTGCGGAAGCTATGACCGTGCTGCTTTTAGGGGTTATGAGCATAGCTGTCATATCCACAGGTGATGCAGTTGTGTTTCTCATTGCAAAAGGAAAATCTGTATGTGTTCCTACTGAGCTTAGATCCAATGTCAATTTTGTGGCAGTGTTATTTTTTGTTAGTGTCAGTATCGGTGTGCTTAAAGCCATCACAGATGGCAAAGGTGTGTTTTCAGTGCCTAGAGAAAAGAAGGAAGAAGCTGGCACTGGTGAAGCTGGAGATGATTTTCTTGTTAGTGGGTTTGCTTCTGAAGTTCCTACTGTAGGTATTGCACCAGAAGATACTCCAGATAACACTGTAATGACAGAATGGGTAAAGTTGGTTGTTGACAAAAGAGAAGTTAGTTGTGTTGGTAATGCATGGACAGAAGTTATGATGACTGACTGCAGAGCACTGGTGGCAGGGGTTTGCAATGGGATGCCCTCGGTAGCTTTACTAGATGTATTACTGGGAACTAGACTATGTCTTGTAGCACTTGTGCCCCACTCCTCCACACTAAATGTAGCTGGATCTTTATCGGCCATAACCAAATAACCAGAGAATTCTAATTGGTTATCTGCAAATTCTGGCAAATTTCCAGAACCAATGTTGTCTTCTGTAATGAAACTATGCAAGAGAGTTGAGCTAGAAGGCTTGGTTACGGGAGAGGGGGACTCAGTTGGCGGTATGCTGTGGATGGCACTGTTTTCATTGCTGGCTGAAAGAGTCACATTGTCAGTGAGATGAAAGGCCAATGTTGGTGTTGTGCCTGAGGTTTTTGTCAGCAAAGTAATCTTCCCAGCATCAGTTGTCTGTGACTCTAGAGAGCTAGGGAAAGCACCTGTATCATTAACAGAAGGCACATGTAAACGGAGAGGTGCTTCATAGCGCATGCTGATATGAATGTCTCCAACAGTGAAGAAATCAGCAATGTTTTCAGCTGTGCTTCCATGCTTTTTTTGCAGGGGCTCAGGCACTGCCAAAGTGGTAGCAAGGGATGAATATCGAACAGGAGGTGTTTTTAGTGCAAACGCATCTACATCAAATTCTATAAAACTATTCAACTTTGTTCCAGCAAAGGATGAATTTGAAATATTTTGACTAGAGTTTGCATATGTATAGTTTGCTGAAGAGGTGGAGAAGAGTGGCTGCTTATTTGTATTAATTTTATTTTGCAGACTTGAAACTACTGAGTATGGTGCATGGTACTCAGTTTCCAATGGGAAAGTACTTGGAGGAACTTCTCTCACTGCCTTTTTGACTGAAGTAATACTAAAGCCAGCTGAAGACAGCAATGCTGTATTGGTCCATGTAAAAGTCAAACTTGTGACTTCAGGAGAGCTGACAGGATCTAAATTGCTTTCAGAGTCTGCATTCAAAATCTCGGAAAAGCCAGAGCCATGGCTGTCCATCACCGTGGTCATGGAAACGAGTGATGGCAGCATAGCCCATGCTGGAGGCACAACAGAGGCAAGTGGCTTTCTATCAACTGAACGCAAAGTCTGCTCAGAGGTAACATGATTTAAAGTTCTTGGAGGTGAATATTCTGCATGTGGGGTCACAGCAGTGGGTACTTTCATATTTCTGTCTTCATTTGCAGATACACCTGGATTTCCTGCATCTCCAGGTGGAAGATGTGCAGTCTCAAAGGTATTAGTAGCAGATATATATGTGATAGCAGGTTCAGGTCTTGAAAGGCCTGTAGTGGAAGTAATTAATGGCACTGCTGCTCGATCAGAACTAGTCATGGCTGTTTCCAAAACAGTGCCTAGTATCTTTGATCCTTTGGGGAGTTTACTGGTTTGGATATCTGGAGAAACTTTGGAAAGCTGAGATTCATAAGGCAGAACGCTATTAGCATTAAAGTTCATGGACATCTTTGCTGTCACTCCTCTCGTGGAAGGCTGTAGAACTGTTCTTGCCACAGGAAAACCATCAGAAGTTGGGAGAGCATGTGCAGAAGCAGTTGGCAATCGCATGCCGTTTGCCTGATAAGCTCCGTCAGTCAAGTCTTCTGCGAAAGTCTGATTCAGAGCTGCCACAGAGAGTTGTGAGGAAACAGTCAAAGGGATTTGCAAAGTATCTGCATCGGCTGCTACTGCTGCACTGGAACTGTTTGTGTGTGCTATCCTAGTAAAGGTGTCATTTGTCTCAGTTAGCAAGGGAGACCTTGCGCTTGTTGAAGAGAAGCGTGTTGCATTTCTAAAGAGAAAATCTGTTTCACTTCTAAATGCTCGTACTGGCAGCACTGCATTGTGAGCATGCTCTGCATCTGGAATAAGTGACTTTGGCAATGAAAGGGAAGACATGCTCTCTGTTGAGCTGGAGACCTCAGCCAGGCTCTCAGAAGCTGATGACAGGAAAGGTGCACTGCTAGAGTCTGTAGTGCAATTAGTCAGTGCTGTGGAAGACTGAGAATGACTCATTTGCCGTATTAAATGTGAGGTACCCACAGGATGGAAGACTGATGTAGGAACCTCTGCTTTATCCTGAAAAACTGATGGTGACAGAGGAGCAATATCACTATTTCTGTCAGCCAACACCGCCTTAAATGGCTGACTGTTTGGTTTTACTCCAGTAGAAGATACGTTATGTGTACTCTCATTAGGAAACCATAACAGGCTTCTGGAAGTTACTGGGAGGGAAGACTGGTATGTTTTTGACACAGGAATATCAGAGTATACAGACAAAAAAGCGGTCCTTTCTGAAGGAGACCCTTTCCCCACTATTTCTGTGAAATGCACTGCTGTCGGTTCAATGAGATTGAAAGGCATGGTACCTGTAAACAACTCAGGACCCTTTCTGTGATCCACCATACTGGAATGTACTACAGTGACTGTGCTTAGAGGACTATTTCTGCTTTCACTAACCTGCAAGCTGGCTGAATCTGAGTTGAAGAAACCTTCAGCATCTGCGGACAAAGGCAGTTTGATGGCCAGTACAGCTGGTTTAGAAAAGTTAATGGTATGAGGTGACTCAGTTACCAATGAGGAGAATGATGGTGATGGAACAGCAGCAAGCATGTTTAATCCTGATGTGCCTTCTTTTGAAATGGAGGGTGTTTCTAATGGTATTAGCTGAAATGGCACAGCTGTACTTGCATGTGTCATTGATGGTATAGTGGACAATGTGGCGAACATACCAAGTTGAGGCAAACCTGATACAGCAGCTGTTTCATCTGCATCTTGAGCTGATGACCTCAGAGGCGACTCAGCTGAAACTTCAGCAGGTTCCTGGGATGCACTGTTTCCACTGCCTTGATAAAGGGTGGGCGATAGATGAGTTTGATCCAAAGTCCTGGTACGTGTGCCAGTCAGTGTTGTTTTTATCATCTGAAGCAAGTTTGCGTTCTCCAAATTCTGTCCCATAGAAATATCAGCTACTGAGGAAGTCTTAGTTTCTGTTGAAGGCCGTGTTGGTGATAGTATAGATCTCCAATTAGAAAAAGATCCTGCAGAAGGAGCAATGTTGAAATGCTGTTGTCTGATACCTGTAAAATAATAAGTAAAATGAGTATATTCTTCCCCAAAAAGGAAGAGGAGTTGTTGGTCTCTTTGAAAGAAACCACAACACAAAATGCATTAGTGAACTTTTTGGGTTTTTTTACTCAAAGAGCACAAAAATTCACAGAAAGTAAAAAACCACACACAAACACACACAAAAAGCAGTGAAAGGTACAACGTGACAGATTATAAATCCCTCAAGTCATTTCATCTGACAGAAGAATAAGGAAAGCTTCCTAGACCATACTATTTCAAAATACTACTTTTAACTGGGATGGTTCAACATACTAAAAGACACCTTCTTAAGCTTGGGACAATTCTTGAGGTTGTCATCAGTAACCCTGTGTCAAAATATTATGTGAGAAGATGAGTTTAGAAGCAGTGTAGAAAGGGTATAGATTTTGACAACCAAGCTTCACTGACTTGGCATGTGGTTTGACATGGGAATGGAGTCAGCATTGGCTGGGTTCCTGTAGGATGCATCTGGAGGTGCTCATCTTGCCAGTTCTAATAATGCATGCAATTATAGACACAAAAGGAAGAAAATAAAACAGGGATGAACGTGAGGAAAGAGGGGCAAGATCCAAAACAAATTAGGAAATTAAACTCCTTTTTTGATATGTGCAGATGTACAATGCACTATTTCACTACTTTACTCTACATTCAACACCATAATGTTCCTAGGCTTTGTTTTCTTAAAATGATTACAGTTATTCTAAAATTGTAGCATGGGAAATCTCACATTCTTACTAATGTAAAGATTAAGATTCATGAAAGAGTAAAATTTAAGTTGGTTCCCACCCCCATCCCCAAGATAGTAGATCAAAACTCAGTTCTGGCACTTGCTACCACACCAAGCTGCATCCCCTTGCATAGCTAAACAGAGGCACAACAGAGAGCTAGTCCCTGCCCTCCAACTGCAGTGCATCTGGAACAGACACAGAGGATGTCAACCTCCTCCATACCCCTACGAATAACTCCAGTGTAATGGCGCGGAAGACTAAGCAGGGGCAGACCTTGAGATACACAGTTATAAAATGGGCTGGACATTAGTTCCAGGCACCAACAAACCTAACGGTCAGAGCCAACAGCACCAAAGGGGATCAGCCCATACAAACAGGAGCCAGCAGCAGAACACCATATCGCACGAGAGGAAAATGGGTCACACTGCGACTATTTAAAGCTAAGTTTCTTTCTTGCGATATCCTTGTGTTACACCACCCGTTATCCATATGCGCAGGCCAAAGTAGATGATT